GCCCGGCCGCCCGGCCCTGCGGCTGCTGCTGCTGCCGCCTCTGCTGCTGCTCGCGGCGGCGCCGTCTGGCCGCGCAGGTACGTGGGTGGCGCAGCGAGGCCGGCCGGAGGGTTTTGCTTTCTGGTCCCAGAGCGCCCGGGTTTCGCACCTTTCCGGGCGAGGACTGGGCTGGGATGGAGGAATTTGGTGGCGGTCCCTCTGATCGGTGTCCACGGCTGGCAACCTGAGGCGAGTGGCCGTCACCGCGCGGGGCGCCCTCGCCGGAGCGTCCCACCTCTGCCGCCGCGGCCGTCCCGCGCTGTCTCAGACTCTCGGTCCGGCAGTGGCACCGCTTTCAAACCCAACCGCCGCGGGAAAGGGTCTGCTCCGAGGGCACCGGACCGAGAGGAGGCTGCGCTTCTAAAGTAACGTTGTCCCCAGTAATCAATACATTGCATACTGTTGTCTTCGTAGTAGTTAATCAGAGGACAAGATGCAGACTTGATATCTTGTCTAAACAATACTAGGACAAACCTTTCTTCTCAATGAACTAAGAGAAAGTAGCTGTCTCTAGGCAACCTTGGGTCACGTGTTACTTTTGGTTAAAATTTAAACTGTTTATCAATTGGACTCCAATGAACTAGATTAACCCATTAGCCACTTTTCCCCGTGTTTCCGGTATAGTTAAAAATAAGGCAAGGTATCTGGAACTTTTTTTGATAATTAAAAGCAACCTCAAAAACTTTACAGAAGGCTGGACACCAGCAGAGAGCTCAGGACCAAAGTTGCCTGAGAAATCTGGCACAGTTCCTAGTAGTCAACGAAAAAAGTTGTGTCGTTCAGTATAGTTACAAAGGTGGAGTCTAGAAGAGAGTTTTAAACAATAGATGTTGCACAAAAAGTTTCTCACTCCTAAATTTTCAAAAATTTTATTTGTTTTTTAATTCGAGGCAAAATAGAGACAGCTTCTGATTTAATATTAAGGTTTCCAGTAGCAGGAATTCATTTGTTGTTCTTTTTGATCAGAGTGATATTAAACCTGCTCAGTAATTGCTGAGCTCAGAGGGCTGACGTTAGAAGGAAGGCAGTTTTTTGGGTTTTTGTTGTTGTTGTTTTTTTCACTATCACAGATTGAACTCAGGACCTTGCTCTTGCTAGGCAAGTGCTTTTGTACTGAGCTATCTCCCTGGCCCTGAAGGAGGGCGTATTCTTGATTTAGGTGCAAAATTTGCAACTGGGCTGGTGGTGCACACCTGCAGTCCCAGCACTCTGGGAGACTGAGGTAGGAGGATGGAAAGCTTGAGCCCAGCCTGGGTGACTCAGTGACTTAGTGAGACCCTGTCTCAAAATAAAAAATATAAAGGGCTGGTATGTAACTCAGTGTGGGGGTCCCAGGTTCAGTCCTCACAGGGTAAAATTTGCAACAGACAAAAGAAGCACTTTGCTGAGCCACAAAACCTAGGTGAATTGTTAGCTCTTAGCTAGTTCTGGTCCTGCTGGGGACTGTGGGGATTTCGGGGGAAGCCAGGTTAGAAGCTAGATGGAGTTGCCTGGATGCCAGAGCTGCCTCTGACAGATGAGTCACCTGCAATGCCTGATTAATCCTGGGTCTCCTAAGGGGTCTGTGACTGCCACCCTCAGGTAGATGAATCATTTTCCTTGATTTTTTGGACCCTTTGCACAGAAATTCAGAGTCACACAAGTCACCATTGGCTGACAGGTTGTACAATGCTAAAAGTTCCCCTGGTGGGGGGAAGCACTCAACACCGTAAACAACTTTGTAGGAAAGTCTTGATCTTTTATTTCAGGTAAATTTTTGTCTCTGCTGCTCCCTCAGGGTAGGTAGCCCCTCTAGCCCACTCTCTAAGCTTTCAGGGAACAGAAATTTTCATCAGAAAATATATTTTTCTGATTTAGCAAATGTGTTCTTATTTCTCAAGGACAGTAAAGAACTATGGTCAATGTTAAATAAACAGATGTAGTAAGAGTCTGTTTGATTTTCCAGCTGATGTGTCTGTGCTTAAAATTCTTCAAAGGAGGGAGCAGGGGAGATAGCTTAGCAGCATAAGTGCCTGCCTGCCAAGCTTAAGGTCCTGAGTTCGATTGCCAGTACCAAAATAAGAAAGAAAAAAAAGGAAATTCTTCGAAGGTTTCCACTAGTCTTAGAATGATACTCAGCTCCCCTGCAAGGTGCAGTGTGGCCCTTTCCAGCCTTCCCATAATTCTTTAATTCTTAATCCCCACTGTTCTTACTTTTATCAGTTCCTAAAGCAAAGCAATCCATTTCCTATCTCAAGGATTCTCACTCACATTTCCCTCTGATAGAATGTTCCTTCCACTGTCTGTTCTGGTTAACTGCTCAGATTTGGCATCCCATCCTCTCAATCCCTAGAGGGAAAATGCAATTCATTATGTCTACGAACAAATGAACCTAACTTCAGTTTTAAGTCTTTGAAATACAATCTGAAGACTAGGCGTGGTGGTGTGTGCCTGTAATCCCAGCACTTGGGAGGCTGAAAAACAGGAGGAGCACTATGAGTCTGATCTGTGTAGTGAGACCCGGTAGACCCTGTATTAAATACATAAAAAAATACAATCTGAACATTACTTTTAAAAAGCACTGCTTGGGGCTGAGGATATAGCTCAGTGGCTTGAGGACCTGCCTGGCAAGCACAAGGTCCCATATTTGATCCTGGATACCACAAATCAATAAATAGCAATGTTTGTTCAAATTGATGTTGTGAACACAGTGAAAGTGTTTGTTGAAATAATCTCTTCTTTAACATCATTGCAGCCACGTTGGGTGTTAACATTTCACAGAGAAGTTACGTTAGAACATACTTCACGCAAACACACAAATGATTCTACTGAGCTGATTAAACTTTCATAACTTTTAACACATTTTATTTTGAACTTCTTCAAGAAATAGCAGAGCATTCCCACATACCCTTCAGCTGGGTTTCCCCAATTTCAGCACCTCACATGACTGTCGTACACTATCAATATTAATATCTTTCTATTCACTAACCTGGAGGCTTCGCTTCGGTTTTACCCATTTCCACTTTTTCCATCCCAGAACTCTACACCTCACATCGCACTGACTTGTTGAATGGCCTTTCTGTCCTCGAATTGATGACAGGGCACAGCCTTTCTTTGCTTTCATGACCTTCACACTTTGTTTTTTTTTTTTT